AGCAGAATGAAGCGGTGAGAGTGCACATAAACACAATTACTTAGCAAACTCACCACTCTGTCAACTTACACATCAAAACATGAACAAAACAACATTTCATACGCTCTCTTAGAAGAAAGTTTAGCTACTACCACACAGACACCGCCATATGCAGCACTTCACACATGACTTCTAGCTACACACCAGCTGAACCCAATGCTAGCTGCTCATGAATGACACCCTGCATCATACTTGCAATCTCATGCCTACAGTGTTACCTTGGCACCCTGGGAGTCCAGAAGCAACCACCTTTCTGCTGAATGACTGCAATGAGAAAAATTGCTGGATACACGGTATGCAAGCAGTATGGTGACAGGTATCACCCTGGAGTAAAATTTATAAAGTGGATATTGGTGCCGTCAAAAAAAGCAGTTACCTTTAAAACACAAGGAGGCTGCATCTCTGTGCCTTCAGGCTGCCACAGCAGAGGGAACGTTAAGAGCGGAGAGTGCCCAGCTGTACCTGCTATAAATACTAGAAACTCAGAAAATACACAGGAACCGAACACCACCTGTCTACAGCGCACTGCTACAGACAACTCCATCAAAAATGGTGCAAATGAACTAATTGACTCTTATGATTCTTTGCTTTTATGTAGCTAACAGTGAAGTCAGACACGAGGTCATGCTGAACAGTCCCTTCTTTCTTCCCTTTTTCGTTCAGCAGACTCTTCTACTTCCAGCTGCTCCCTTAAGGGTCACCACTGCATATCATTTGCCTCCATCTCACCCCATCTCTAGCATCCTCCTCTATTAAATCAGCCCCCTGCATGCCCTTTTCCAGTTCTTGCATACATCTTCTTTGTGGTCTTCCTATTTTACTCCTACCTGTTAGCTCCATATTTAGCCTTCCTTGTCTAATACATCCTGGTTGACCGCAAGTATTAAAACTTATCACAACCTCTAGAGCTTGTAGCTGCTCCCGGATGTAACCCCACTGCCACCTTAAGCCCATCTGTCACTCCTACCTCACCATTGTCTCGCTGTCCTCATACATGTACACATAATTCACACAATTGTGACCTCTCCAACATCGTGTTAAGCAATCTGGTGAAAGAGTTTACTGCCCTCCTTCCTACATATACCTTGACAGGTATGTCATCTGTACCAACCACCTGTCCACTCTTCCTCCTCCTTAGTTCTCTGCTCTTTCCTGCATCCATCCTCTGCTCTTCTGTTTTCTTCATCCATCAGCTTCTTTCCAGCTTGATCTGTCTGTCTAGACAATTGTTAGAAGTCCTTTTCTCCTTTCTTATATATATTTGTCTTTTGCATGATTTTAAGCTAAGAACGAAAGCAGCAGCCCAACTATAAAAATCCATCTGAGCTTTATTAAATCTAAATCATTCGATATGTAGTTAATTGTGCCTAAAGTCTGTGTAAATATTTTTGCTTTCATATGACACATTTTGCAAATATTTCTTTAAAAGACAAAGAAAAAATAGAAACAAAATTTGAATCCTCAAAGCAGAATTTCACGACCTAGTGGATGATGTTGCACAGATGGTGTGCATTTCTGCAGTCTATATTTATGACATACACTGTTATGTTCAACTGATAAATTATATATTAATAACAATGGTTATTGTGAATTTAAGACTAAATAAAAGTTTAATAAAT